CGTGCATTCGATAGAACCTCGAATATATCTTCTTGTTGACCTGCATTAAAATATGGTTCCAGTCTTACTGATCAATTGGCAGACTACATCCGTAGTTTTTTTTAAAATCTCATTATACATTTTAACATGATTAACAACTCAGTAACTCGGAAACTATATTATCAACCAGGAAACCCATAAAGAGCGCTGGGGGACCCACTGAGGAGTGAACTCTTCACAAAGTTTGCATGCAGCGACAGAATATCAAGGAAAAACATGCCCAAATTTTTAGCTAGTATGTTGTCTGGCAGTATTTTCCTGTCAGCTAACTTATACATTGAAAGCACTCTAACGGGAAGTAACCAAGCCAGCACAACATAAAATGTTGCATAGCGCTCAACTTACCCTGAACGGCTCTGTTTACTGCCCAACATAGCGGCCATGCTGTTTCACTCAGGTTAAAGTAAGTTGCATTGACAGACCCCTCATTAAATTCTCGCCTGTAGTATTCCTCGATCGATGGTGCAGCCATCCTTTCAGGGTCCGAGGCACACGTGTCACGATGCAAAATACGGGCCATTTCGATCTTTCCAGCTATATCCAGGAGATCACTGTCGGCTCCATAGACTCCCATCGTGTCGTACTTGGTTAGGGGTTCAATGTTAAGTTGACGCTTTATTAAGGGCTAAATGTAGGCAAACAACATTTATATTAATCTATTTCGCAAACCAGTTTATTTTGCTATGGAAGCGTACAACGGGGTATCTGTCAGTTCAGCGATTAGTATGTTGTCTAAAGCCTATTTAATTAGCCATAATGTCTGATGTTATGAATTATTGAAATTAAAAATCGACATACCTGTTGAGGTTGCGCCTTTGCTAGAATAAGAGCCATCAGTGTTTGTAGGCATATGGATTTCAAGATTGAACATTATAAACAGGTCATTGTGACTATTTTCCTGCAACATACTGGTATAGGTAGCTGGTCCGTACAAGTCATAAATCAATACTTTATCCTAAAGCGCTCCGTCAGAAGAAGCCGCGGTTCGCTTCGTTGCTTAGCTTGCCGAATTACTTACTTTTAAAATTGAGACTGCTCCTGTGTAACAATTTACATGAAGAACTGGCGAGAATACGTTTGTTTTAGCTAAATTCCTGTCAAGCCAGAACGGGATCGGGTAAAGCATAGCAGTTATTAGATAAATCGATAGGAGTCTTCCTCAATATGGGACCCTATTTTTAGTAAAACACAACGCTTCGAACAGAGAGGTCAGTTCAAGCAGTTTTTGTGACAAAGTCCTTTGACGTAATTTTACTTCCTGCAACAAAAACAAGTGATCATCACATATATATGTTTTTTTATGGATGAAATCTTTTGCGCCTAGTAAATGTGGAGATTCTGGACACGTGTTATGC